ACACACACACACACACACTGCAGTGCGAGTAGCTAAGCTCATCTGGCTCAGTCCGTTTCCATGGAAACAAGCTACTCTCTCTGCAACGCGACCGCCGACAACAAAAGAAAGAAGCCGAGGGGACGGATGGGAGAAAAAGGTGAGAAAGGAAGAGGAGAGAAAATCATTAATAAATGATCCTCTGGTCATTTCTTTTTCTCTCTTTTTTTGTTATTAATATTTTAAATGTGAAACTGTCTTCTCATCCCTAACGTGTCGGTAAATAGCTGAAACGCTGCAGCGTCAAGAAGAAGCACCACCGAGGAATTCTCTGAATAATCCCCCTCGTGTCCAGGTGTTAGTGCGGTGCAGCATCAGCATGACGGGTATTTGCTTATTTGTCAGATTTTACTCTCCCCTTTCTGTCACTCGTCCTCCGTGGACTCTTTCCATCCCTCCATATTTCTCGACCTTTTAATTTTTCATCTCCCACTGGGCTCCCTCTCTCTGTCCTCTAACCCTCTTTAAAACCAGTGCATCAGGGTGCAAACAGTCATTTAATGGCCCTAAACTCACTGATCAATAAGGCCGACCGATAATGGAACCATCGATTCTGGCTGGAGGTTGAACAAATGTCGGAACTGTCGGGTTTCAGCTGAGCAGCGTTTCAGTGGCAGGAGGGGAGGGGGGGTGGTGTCGGTGGGAAACAGACGAGAAGTGAAGTCAGGAGTGTGTTTTATGTGACATATTGTTCTGTCTGCAGGAGGCATTTCTGAGTTGCGAGTGAGAGGAAAAGTTGTGAGGCGGAAAAAGTGGGTTTGAATTTGTGTGAAATTTTGATATTAGACACTTTTAAGATGGAGAAGACGTCGGTTTATATGAACACAACTGTCATAACAGTCCTAAAAGCCAACGTTTGTCACGGCAGACGAGGATGTGTGACGCAAAATTATGTCACAGTGCAAGACTTCTTATTTTCTTCAATCAAGGCAGGAAAATTGTGAGATGCCTTCGTTTTTTTGGGACTTGCAACCTTAAAACAACCAGGGTTTTGCAGTAACTGTCTGCACAAGTGGGCTGCAAAGTGGCTCAGTGGTTAGCATCGTCGCCTCGCAGCTAGAAGGTCGCCGGTT